TTCGAATTGCTCCTGAATGCAAGTACGCGAAAATTGTATCTCTAGTTGTACTCAAACTACAGCTGTTGGGAGTTGTCGAAAATTAATACCGCAGCCTTTTCATCAGCGGCGCGAGGGCTTCATTAACCATTTCAGCCCTGAATTCTTTTTAACTGGCAAATATATTTGTTTCTCATTGATTTGGAGTTACTACAAACTCAAGAACACGAAAATATCCAAGTGATGTGGGCAGATTTCTGGACTAGAATAACAAGAAAACGAGAGCTTTTGCAGGAGCTACACATCTGGTCTAGTCGGCAGGCATTCTGAGGTCTGACAACCACTGAGCCCTGGTGTCCTATATTTAGGACATGAAGATTGTTCACTGCTGTGGGCGATAGGTCAACTTTTTATCTGGTTGGTTGCACGTGCTATGAAAATGGTTTTATTACGTTACTTATTCAGTTACCTTCGACTATCACTTCTGTTTCTTCTTTTTTCGTTCCACTGCATAGGTATATATGCGCGGTTTGGAGAATAAAATTCCTGTTATAAGTCAGCACTCTGTATGTGTCCTCCTTTGTCTGGTTTCTCGTTTTTCGCGCTGTTTATTTCTCACTAAGTCTTGTTCTTGTTCAGACTTTACGTCAGTTGCAAGCAAAAGCCCACAAGAGCGGCGACGATGGTCAGTCATGGTATGATCGTGGTACGCCATGGTCATGATATATTTCAATTTGACGTTTCCATTGTCCAGGGGGGGGGGGGGGCACTGTTCATCACTTCCAAGAGTACAACTGTGGCCGTCCTCTTCGCTGCTTTCATGTTGATGTACATAGATAACTGATGTACATAGATCTAGAGTATTTCGTTTCAATAGCGTACTTAAGGGAATCATTGGGCCAATAGAAAATGTTTAGAGATGCTTAGAGGACAGGGGCACCATTTCCGGTTCCCGGTTTCGCTATGACTCCGACGATCAGATGCGGTTGGGGAGGAAGTGTTAACGAAATTCGTTGTCCCTTTTTCTCTTCCGACACGCGGGGTCCCGTTTGTTAGACGTGCCGTCACGGGGGCTAGACGACAAGTTGGAGCCCTTCACAACTCACGTCCCCGAATTATGTTTGTTGCGCGTCAGCGCATGCGAAGAGGAAACAAAAAAATAACCCCGCAAGCGAGAAGAAAAATGATAACGGAGAGTTCGTACGGGTCGACCCATTACCACAATCGGCGCGTATTCATGAGGCGCGTCCGTATTATACCCACAACAAGGCAGGTCGTCGTATTTCAGTTTTACACACTGTCGTCGACGACGGTGTGAGAGTGCTTACGAAGTGGCAGCGAGATACTGAGAAAAGAGCTGGAAACAAGTCAAGAAAGTACGAAGTGAAAAGGCCCCTTCGGGGCAGACCTGTGCCTCTCAGGCGGTGTTGTTATGCAGATATGCGGGCCACAAAGTTGTGTATAGACGCGGCGCACTGGCAGTTTGGAAACAGATAACAAACTAAACTAAAAAAAAAGGAAAGAGCCTGTTCCCAGTAGTGGCGCACTGCCGGCAGTGTTTATATATATCCCCAAAGCAGCAGCATGCCAGTAGCACAGGGCGAGATGCTGGCAGGCAGGCAACTAACGCCGTGCCCTCCCGAACCGTCATTTTTGTCCCACTATGAATCACACCCGCCGCCGTGTGTCCCTTCTCGCAACGCCCCCCCTTCTCGCCCTTGTATAACTCGCTCTAGCTTATATAAAGGCTGGCGTGCGGCTAGACGGGGGCCGCTGCTGCAACCAACGCACACAGCGCGCTGCGCGAGTCGTTGAACTCACGGGAGGCATTTGCAGTAAAGAAGAAACGACGCGGCTGTACTACTACTACCTGGCCTGGCCGCGGTGCTGCGCGAAGCCGAAGCCACTGAGCGCTCCTGGACGACCGTGTAAGCCTCGTATACCCTTCGGTGTGTCACCTGCTTCGTGGAGCCGAGAGCGGAAGGCTAGGGAACGAGACCGCAAGACGTTTGGCGCCGGGATTCTGCAGCGGGCAGCCTGCACGAGCGAATAAAACACACCGTGCCGCGCGCAGGAGGGGCTCACCGACGCGTACATCGCTTCTTTCTTTCTCTCTCTCTCTCTCCTTCGAAACTCGTGAAGATTCGCGCGCGTCCCGTCTGGCCGTGAAACGTTTTAAACGCACCTCTTTGTCGCCTCTAGGTCGACGTTGATTGGCCCATCCGACCGGCTAAGATTGATGGGTCTCCCCGTCTGTTTGCATACGGAACGGCGGCCCAACGTCGTCGTCTGCGGTAGAGGTGTGAATATTAGCGTGACCGGTTGTGTGAACGGGCCCGTATGTTGAAGTAATATTTGTATGGAGACAGTAGCTGTGGGATCCCTCCTACACCTGCCTGATCCTAATAAACTGATGTCTTGGCTGACTACGTAGCCAGGTGAAGACAGCAAAGAAGCGCCAAAATGCCGATTCCATCAGCCAATCCGCTAGACAATTATTTCTTATAACTGTTTTGCCGACACCGTTCGCGCAGCAGCGTGTGATGTAACATAGCCTACAGTTAGTGGGCAGGTGTGTTCCTACCCCATGCATGAAAGTGTCAACGAAGGCCTATACTTGTGCGACAAGAACAAACGCGCAGATGGAGGAACGCAGTGATGTAATTGGTGATGGAACGGATACACCCTCACCACCGCATTTATGGCACTCGACCAAAAATTGAGCCAATACACCATTTAGGCAGGTGTCAGATAAGCAGTGAAGTAAATTTGTAGTTAACTTCGATATATATAAAATTACGACTGTTCGGGAGAAATTATATACAGCTTTTAGTTTTGCTTAGTTTGCCCCTCCTCACCTTGTCGCGCTTCAATCGTAGGTGGGCGTCGATGACTGCGGCAAAAGGTTTTCGACGCTTTTCCTTCAAATAATAAAGTCTATCTCTATCTCTCTTTTGTTTCAAAGTTTCGCGACCTATGTAACTGGGGATTTGAGAGCCGTGCGCGTGAACACGGTCGATTGTGCTTGAAATGACAGTAGTGCAGTGTAACCACAATATCTAAACAGGTGTTGGGAAGAGTTGAGTGTGTGACGTCTGACAGGACGCGAGATCCAAGTTCAGCAGCGAGAAACGTGACACGCCGCTGGTTCTCACGTCGAAGTACATCGAAGTTGAAGTCTCCAGTGACTAGTCACCGGCACATCCTGTAGGCACACCACACGGAAGTTGTGCAGCAAGAAGTTGATGACATCAGTCCGCGAGGTCCCTGTAGAGATGTACACTGTTGCGACAACGAAGTCGTGCGATGTCTTAACGGCGCAAGCGTCACCACAACTAATCTGGGACAGTGAGTTGAGTTCCGTCTAAAGTGTTAGTGGCGGTGCGCATTTCAATGGGAACCAAATTCACAGGCATGACCGTGGACCAGCAACGTCCCGAATAGTCCTGGACTTCATGTGAGCAATTTTTCTTGTTCCCTCAGAGTGAAAGTGAAGCCAGAGACATTTTGGAATAGCTCTTTATACCAACGGTATGTGATTCCGTAAACCGACCCCTACATTGATAAAGCCATCAGACACGTTAATGTTTAGGGAAAACATGTAGGGCTTGTCCAAACAAACCCCATGCTCTGTTCAAGAACGTCTTTTAAGTCTATTGGCAGTGCGCCAGTAGTAAACGGTGTACATACATAACTCACGTTATTAATGTGGACAGCATGGGCGGCGTCGCCTAGTTGGTTAATGCAACGCGCTGAGAAGCAAGGGGTCACTGGCTTCATTTACTGACGGGTTTTCTTTTTGAACTTTTTTTCTTCTAAATTATTTTTCTTTGTGCCTTTTATAAATATATACATATCCGGCACATGACGGCGATGGCAACAATCAGCCGAGAGTGTCCATATAACTGCTATCGCAATAAAACCCTGCAAAGTTCCTTATGCATTCACGAAAGATTGCTCCAAGGCGAATGCCATCATTTTTTCTCCTCTAAGCTGATGTGTTGATGCTGTCCCGTCATAGAGTTTCCTAAATTAAACTAAAGGCGATCCTGGAGCTATGATCATTCAGCCACCATGGGAATGATGAGAAATTCACCAATTTTTCGTGCCTGCTGTTTCGAACACTTTTGTGGCTTTATTTCTGTGTTTTTGTTTTGTTTCAAATAGGACAACGGACGGTTGTGGAATTCGTGACTAATGCCCCGTCGCGGTGGTCTAGTGGCTAAGGTACTCGGCTGCTGACCCGCAGGGCGCGGCTTCGAATCCCGGCTGCGGTGGCTGCATTTCCGATGGAGGCGGAAATGTTGTAGGCCCGTGTGCTCAGATTTGGGTGCACGTTAAAGAACCCCAGGTGGTCTAAATTTCCGGAGCCCTCCACTACGGCGTCTCTCATAATCATATAGTGGTTTTGGGACGTTAAACCCCACATATCAATCAATCGAATTCGTGACTAAATTTGAATGATTGAGCCTAATAAGCTCAAGGTGGTGATGGGTAAGTGCTAAACATTTGCTGAACTTCATCTTGCAGCAAAGCGGATTCAGGTTACACAGGGCCAAACCGAGACGAAAGAAAGAAAATTAGACAAATTTTTGTAATAACCATCATGCCCATGCTAGCTGAAGTGGAGTGCGTCGCAGCTCCCATAGACACCAGCGCCAGAGTTCCCTCTCGTGCGCTTCTAGGAAACTCTGTGTGCCCCACCACCTTTCGAAAGTGTTCTGCACCTGACATAATTTTGCAGTGCCTCCAAGATCAAAGGTACCTCATCTGGTTTGTTTTTCCTCTGTGATGGGACCGCCTTCGACCAAGCTACAATGTAATGTGATGACGTCATCAATTATGCTGCGCTATTTGACGGCACTGTAACGTCATCATGGCGTGATGGTAAGCCGACGGCACAGTCAAGTCATTATGACGTCGCAATGCTGTCCCCTGGCGTCATTTTAAAGTGTTAAGCAGCGCACGGAGACAAGCACAAAAGGGAACGAACTCGCCCGACTTTCAGCTATGGTACGTACCCTTCGGCCGGCTTCGTTATTGTGCAGGTTCATGAGCTTCCGTCCCTGGGACAGCGACCCTCGCGGGTGGTTCTGTTCCCGCTCCCTGACGTCGACGAAACCCTCGGTGAAGCGGTAGCCGTAGGCCACGTTGTCGCCGCACCCGCCCCAGATCCAGTCGCGGTGCAGGTTGTCGGGTCGCAGCTCGCTCGAGCAGCCGCAGCTGCCCAGCTGCCCGTCGCGGCAGGCGCGTGACACGGCGTGCACCACGCCGGCAGCCGCCACAGCGTGTGCAAATGCCGCCTCCCGGCTCGCTGCGAAAGCGCAGTTAAAGAAAAAAACGTAACGAAAATGTGGCAAAATGAGGAACAGGACACTTAATATAGGGTTGATTAGTTGCAAAAACAAGCGCTGTATACGAGGAATGCAAGGATGAATCAACAAAATGATACAACTTTCCAAAAGGTATCTATATAACTTTATGAATACAAGAACAGCGCTGCAAGGACAGGATGGAAAACAGGACACGGACCACAGCACAGTGGTGTCTTTTTTTTTCATCCTGTCTTTTTATTGCTACTTCTATACTCTGTAATCATGGACCAACCTGCCCAAATGCGTACCGTATACTGCCGTATGGACAACAAAGTGACAGCACTAGCACAAGCGTGAAAAGTTTGCATACAATTGCAGCTGATCTTATACGGCAGAGAGAGAGAGAGATAAATTAAGGATCTTAAGCTTAAGAAGAATGGTTAACTGATTGCTTAACTTGGGGCTCAATGATCAGGGAGAATTTGTGAAACAGGGCCCAATTGGCAAAATTTAATGCCGAACTTATACAACCGGAACCTTATTATTTTGCCATTATTTTTGCCATTTACTTTTATATCTGTGCGGAATACACGCTCATTAAATACCAGTATGCCTCATTCTGCTGAGAGGCAGCGCATTATGATCGTAATATGTTCACCAAAGCGTATATCAGCGCACCTAGTACCGAATCCACCCTACGTAAATATTGTTAAGTCCGCTTTCCTGCGATGCTGTTCCCTAAGCCAAAGGCAACACAATCATGTCTCGCAATCAGCGCCAGCGAGTCCAGTTTACTCATTTCATAACGTTTACTCATTTCAATTGTACAGGTACTCTTTTTCTGGTGAAGACATAAGCACGAGACAAGCCCTACACCATGTGCAAAGAACAATCGGTCTTTTCTCGAACTAATTAGCCGGCGTTGCGGTTACATTCCAGGAGACGTGCAATACAGAGAAGTACCACTTCTCTGTATAGATCACCGCAGAATCTAGACCCTTTCTATCGTCCAGGAATGGATCAGGTTTAGCGTAACGTGCTGTGGTTCCGGCTGGCGCTGTCATGACGTACGCACACGACCGTCGATGTCTAAGCACCCAAGAAGGGGCCCCACCTCTTCCCGGTCGATGTGTGCGCATCTCTTCCCGCCAATCGAGAGAGACAGCGCGTCGTGATGCGTTCGCCGCACGCCGTCCAGGTTCCCAAAAGGCCGCCAGGCGGCGACGGCGGTCGTGCCCTTGGAAGCAAACCGGCGTGGCCAACCGCACGTGACGTCGGATTATGCGCGCGAAATCTCGCGGCGGGCGTGCGGGAAGTCAACCGTGCATGCAGCAGCGTATACGCATACATTGTTTCGTTCCTGTTTTTTTTTATTTGCCGGCGAGCGAGTGGCATCGCGAAAGGTGAATGCTTCAGCGTGGCGCTTCGTCTCACGCCGGACGTATATATACCGTCTAATCCCTTTGGCGAGCTCGAAGAAGAATCCGCTCTTTTGTTTAGGTAGCGCCCATCGCAGCAGCACCTGCTGTGTTCGTTTGTGTCTGCGGCGTGAGCCGCGTACGTAGTTGCATACGTTGCAAGTCAACCTGGCCCTAAGCGCGCTTGAGTTGCAAAAACGTACACGGGCACGCAAGGCTTGACCAGCGCGAGTGTCGTGAACGTATACGATTTTATGCACGCAGTACATAACCCTCGATGACACAAGTGAGCGCGCGAGGTGTGTTGTGACACGTGAATGTAGTCTGCGACGTTTGCTCGCATGCAGGGTTTGCGTGAAGATCACAGCCTCATTCGATGGTGGGACTGGCTCAACGGTTCTTGCGCAAGAGAAGGGCTGGTTTATTTTAAAAGCGAAAGCTCTACTGCGCCACGTGTCTCAAGGTCATTCATCGCACCGCCATGACCATGAGGTGTCGGAGCACGAGTGACAGGCATGATGTCACGCCACGTGATTCGATGCAGCGGAGATGAACCGAAGATGCGCGTAGCTTCAAGCCCCGCCTAAGCTGGACCACGTGACCAGTAATCGAACAGCGCGCCCAACTTTAGCCAAATTGAGCGAAACGTACCTTTTACTCGTGGTAACTAGGTTCGCATTAGTTATATCTCAACAAACTTGGTCTCAGCGCCGAGCCTGCGATAAATTTCTGATCAATGCGTGAAAGAAGTGGGATCGATGCGTGACCAACGATATATAATCGTTATCATGCCAAAATCTGTGACATCATCATGACGTCACACTGACGTTACATGATGACATCGTAGCTTGGTAAGAATCACGGAGGCAGTGTGAAACCAGGTGCCCCTAATCGTAGAGGCAATGCCAAACCCCATTAACTGCAGAATCATTTGGAGGGTTTTGTAGAACAGTGCATCAATTAAGAAGAAAAAAAAAGATAGATTTTGCCTTCCAGCCATTTCAGGCGAGTGCATAAATGACACTCTGCGTTTTTTTTTTTATCCTTGCTGGCATATAAGATTAGTTTCTACGATAGTGGCGTCAATCATAGGCTAAAGACTGTTATAGCACCCGATGCGTTCACTATCTCGATAGCACTCCGGCTAATAAGGCCAGTGGTAGGACAACAATGGGAGTCCTTGAATCTATGAGCCGTGCCGGGACGCACTGTATCACTTCCTTTGCGAAATGGACTTGCTTCAACAAATTAATAGCGAACACGATATGGAGTCTTACGGTCACGATTCCGCATTTATCTCTAACCAACGCATTCTTTTAGGCCAGTCGCTTGCATAAAGATTTCCTTGTTATTTTTTTCTGACTCTACAAGTGGTTTCGGGCAGCGAAATGAACAGATCGTTCTCTTTTGGCTGAAGCTGTAACTTTACGTTCCATTTTCGCTATAGATACCGCTTTTCAGGTCACATCGATTCATGATTGAGCTTCTCTTTGCCCGCGAAGCTTTGACACCTAGAGCTAGCAACATATGATGATATATAATGTGATATCTCATTTATTCGGTTGTTATTCTTTAAAACACTAACAGTCAGACACCACGGAGAAAATAACTATAGGATCATGAATAGCTTACCGCGCCCTCTCTAGTGTGTGTGAGTGAGATGGGGGGGGGGGGGGCTTAATATGTTTCTGTTTGTTAAGCTAAAAATCATATCAAGCACGATCAACGAGCTCACCCTAAATTACCATGCTTATCGGCGAATAACGCCAACCGGGCTTGTCCCGGCGCAACGCCATCTTTCTTTCTTACTTACTTTTTTTTGTTTCTTTCTTGGATTCCTCGCCCGATATTTAATAGAGGGCGTAGGGCAGGCGATGCGCGTACAATGGCTTGCCAATGATTAACGTGGGCATTAGGGGCGAGCATAGCTACGCAGGCAAGGTGGTTTAAATGCTAGAATAGGAGATGGGCTTGTAGCGTGGAAGGAGGGGGGATGCACATGTGGCGGGTGGCTGCACCGTGATTAAGCGTCGTGTCCGTCGCGCCCGCCGAGGCGGCCAGGCGCCTCCGAAGGCGTGAGTGGTCCAGCCTCGTTGTGGGGGGCATCGATCACGAAGCCTTCAATGAAGAACGGGGAGGAACGGCAGGAGGCGGCGACGGTGGCTTCGACGGTCAAGGCGACGCTGCAAAGAGCGTAGACACGCGTTGCTATTGCCTGATCGAGTCGCCACTTTCGCGCCCGACACGACAACCCACGTCTACATTCCGAAACAACAGCTGCAGCAGTATCTACGCGTAGTCGTGAAGATACGTGTATCCCACGCCGGGACGCATGTTAGGAGGAAGCTCGCGAACATTCCGAGATGGACAGGCTTGCAGCTATAGTTCGTCGGAGATCGGGAAGGCCGTCGCGGCGTGCATGCTAGCACGGCAACATTCTCTTCGCTTCGTCCTTACCTTCTGCTGTCCTCTTACTTCATACTCTAGTATTGTGCAATCTTCATTCTGAAAGTGGCTCGCGACTCAATTCACTTTTTCTTCATTTTCTTGTATGCCCTTGGTCCTTCTGGTCAGGGCATTTTACGAAAAATGTCCTAATCTATCTCGATTAAGAGCAATGAAGGACTACAGTTGTGAAGGAAGCATAACTTTTACTCTTCGTACCACTCTGTTGATACGTGCCACTTATTCGGTCAAAATGAATATTTAACTTTGGGCCCCTGCGTGCCAAACCAACACTGCGGTCATTGATGACGCCGTATAGTAGACGATTCAGGACCGGTATATCGAGCCCATCATGATATCTAGCTTATTAGCACCACCATCGTGCATACACCTAGGCCACAACCCACTGCAGTGGTCTGGTGGTTATAGTGTTTCACTGCTGGTCCATAGGTCACGGGATCGAATCCCAGCTTAGAGGGCTGCATTTCGAGGAGGTCAGAAGAGTAGAGGACCATGTGCTTAGAATTGGGTGTGCGTTAAAGAACACAAGATTGTTGAAACTTCTAGAGTGCTCCACATTCTGCGTGTCTCATAATCATGTCTCGTTGCTAGCATATAAGACCGCAAGATGTATTAATATTGATTTGCAATTTTTATGTAGTTCAGTATTACCTAAATTAAGTAAATTACGTATGTGAATGTTAAGATTATTAGTGAATTACGATCGTTCTTTTTTAAGGCACTCTGCAACGCCGCTTGGACACAATGTTGAGAAGAAGCCTCAAAAGTTCGAGCAACCCATCAATCCTTAACCAGGCAACCCTGTCCCACAGTATAGCAGCGCGCAAGTTCGAAATTCTGCCGTAAAGAAACGTGTGTCTGCAGTATAAAACAAGTCGAGAGAAAACTCCGGGAGTCTCTGGCTCCGCCTAATCAATTTGGAGGAAGCTCGGCAGCCAGCCGAGCCGAGCCAGTCGGAATGTTCTTCCAGCGCCCCGCCACCGGCATGCCGTGTGATGAATTCGTTCCGAGAAGAATTTTGATGGGATTGTTTCAAATAAGAGTGGCTCTCGGCTCAGGCGCGAGATGCGGGCGTGGCAGCGCCTCCGCTTCACCGCAGCCACGCACAACGCGAA